ATAAACAAATACACGCACACACACTCACACACACACACATATCTTCCCCCTCCCCCCCTCCCTACACACACACACACACACAAACAGAGAGAGAAGGAGAAGGAGAGAAAGAGACCTGCCTAAGTGCCCAATATATATATATATATATATACATATATATTCACGCGGTTGCGGTTTTGAGGGGAGGGTGGCGGCCGGCACACTGCCGCGGCGAGAAGGCGGGTAAGCGCGAAACATTAGTGGTGTCAGACGGAGGCCGCGAGCAACCAACAGGCGATCTTTAAAAAAAAAGGCGGGGGAAAAAACAAAACAAAAAAGAAAACAAACAACAACAACAAAAAATTATTTGCACAGCACCCTCCGGGCACCACCGATCGGCGACGCTTCGACCGCGCGGGCAACGATGGGCTGCACCCTGTCAAAGACGAAGGCCAAAGAGTGGGAGGCCCCCAAGCAGCAGCGGAACCCAAGTGGGAGGAAAACCCCGGCCGAGAAGTTTCGTCCGGCGGACGACCACGGGGACATTCCCCCGTTTGTCCCGGACGATGATCTGCTGCAGTGGTACGACGCCCACTTGGAGGACACGCGGAAGGTCTTTTGCGCGCCAGCCGCCGCGTTGGAGAAGTCGCTGGGCACGGGGCCGTCCCACGCAGCCGGCCACGGCAAGAAGGGCAAAAGCGGCCCCCCAGACGCCTTGGGCGGGAAGCATGGTGTGCTGACGCTCTACCAGGTGACCCCCGTCAGCCACGTCATCGGCCAGGGCTACTTCAGCCGCGTCACGCTGGCGGATATGGTGGTGCACATGACAACGGCAGAGGCGCTTGCGAAGGACGGGATAGAGGCACACCTGCTCTGCCACAGGTGTGACGCGAATACGTCTCCACTGGGGAAAACGCTGACCAAGGCGCCGGCCACAACCCTGTACACTTCCCCCAAGTATCTTATTGCGTGCAAGGAGTATACGCTGACCGAGGATAGCGCCGTGTACGTCCACAACCAACTGCGTAAGGAGGTACAACAGTTGACGCGCCTCACATATAGCCCACGCTTGTTGAAGGTGCTTCAAATAGAACCCGTATACAAGGACCCCAAGTTATCTGGACCCGATGCGAGCACGCGTCCAAAACTCTTGGAGGGGATGAGCCATCATCGCTTAGGAGGAAATGGTGGTGGAAGTGCCAGTAGACGGCACAGTTTTAATAAGGGCGGACGCGCAGCGCCCACGACCAATTGCCATGAGCCACCTGAGAAGGTGCGCATCTACATGGAATACGCCAGGTACGGCACTCTGCGGAACATGCTGCTCAACGAAACCCCTTGCAAATTCGGAAAGAAGTACATGCACGAGCTCACGGTGCGGGCGTATCTTAGCGAGGTTCTTATGGCGTTGGCGTTTCTTCACGAAAACAAGGTCGTTCACTCCGACCTCTGTGCCAAGAACATCTACATCTCAAACCATATACACACTGTCTACGCCACTTGCTTCCCTGCGTACATCGCCGATATTCCGGCCGGGAGGTTCGCAAAAGTCCCGGCGGCGTGGGTGCGCCGTGTCTTGGCGCTTATGGACCCGGAGTGCATGCAGCCGCAGTACGACTCGGGGGGCGAGGGACGGGTGCCCAACGACAGTATCATGACACACCTCGGCGTGCAGCATTCCATGGAACACTCCATCATGCAAAGCCCTGGCGACGCGGAGGCGTCCATGACTTTGCCCCCTATTCTCATCTTGGGAGGAAGCGGGCAACAAGTCCCGGGCGTGCCGTCAGGCAACGCGGCGGACAATAACAATGGCAGTGGCAATCAGAACAACGGCGCGGACGAAAATGGGGGTGACGAGGACTGCTGTCGTTGGATGGATTTGGAGGTGAAAATGTTCCTGCAGGAGAATGCATACACGGAGGATGACAACATCCCACTTCCCTCCCCACTCTCAAGCGTCGATGACGCGGATGTCTTCAACAGCCCGACCCTGGACGGACTCACCATTGTGCGCAACGGATCCTTTGCACGCTCGCCGCCAAAGCTGCACCTGCCCCCAGTTTTTTCGACCAACATGTTGTCCGGCGACTTCTCTCACGGCACGGCTAGGCTGAACTGCAGCGCCACCACGTTCAACCACATCGCTGCTACGGCGCCTCCAGGCGGTGAGGTTCAACGAGACGCAATCCTTGATAGTTTGGCGAGTGGTGTTGCCAATGAACTGCCACACCACATCCCTAAAAAGAGAACATCGGTGCGGCGCCCACGGAAGCCTCTTATCAAGTTGGGCCACTATGGCTTGATCCGCTCTATTCTTGTTGGAAACAACAATGAAAATGTGCACAAACTGGGGCGTGTCTCGCACATGGCCCCTGAGATCGCGCGGGGAGGTGCCTTTGCGCCTGCAAGCGACATTTACGCTTTTGCCATGACGTTTATTGAGTTGACCACGCCGAATGGTGGCGTCTTTGCGGACCTGCGTCCCACCGACATGGAACCCCCCCGCACGCGACAAGAGAAGAGCGAGTACGATGCGGTCTGGCTGAAGAACATTAAGCGATACCTCCTGAAAAACGATAACGTAGTGCCCCTGCCATCGCAGCTCTCCGAGGAGTGTAAGGCGATGCTGCGGATGTGTCTTCAGTACGATCCGGCAAGGCGCCCGACGGCGGTGGAGCTGCTGCAGTCCAAGTACTTTTTGCTGGGCCACTGGGTGAATGTCGCGACAAAAAATGGGAGTATAGAGGCGCCGTGGCGCGACACCAATTACGAGGCGGCGGCCGAGGCGGCGGGATTGCCGCGACTTCCGTCCGACCCGGGCGTCTACAATGTCGCAGCTTTGCTGAATGCGGGGGGGCCGACGAAGAAGATGACGGTGAAGCAGCAGTGAGTTGGCCTCTCCCCGTGCTCCATGCCCGCGGCGAGAGGCGCGGAAACTGAGGCACCCCAGCGGTGGTTCATGGAAGGCGAGGCCGAGACAACTTGGAATCTGGCAAACGAGCAAAAGGAAGAAAAAAAAAGGAAGCAAAAAAGAAAGAAAGAAAATGGGCGGATGCTGCGTAGGGAAGAACATAAACGAAGATGGGGGCAGGTGCATGCTGAAAAGGGGGCATACGCGTGTGTGGCTCCTTTAATGGGCGGGGGCCGAGGGGGGCGGCGCCGGCGCAAGCGCGGGTGGGGGTGGTGCGGAGTATGGAAGGAATTGATGGCGGCCGTTGCCCGTCGCATTTGCGGTGGCGCTCTGCCGATGGCGTTGGCCGCACCGCGGCAGCGGCAGCGCGATGGAGCAAAAGCCACGTTTGTCCACATGCGTTCCTGTGCGTGTGGGTGGCTGTTTCCGCCTGAATTCGTCGCTCTTCCTTCACCTCCGGCCTTCTCTTTGTGTCGCGTGTTTTGCCGTTTTGTTTCCCGCTGGTCTTCCCTGAACCCCGTTTTTTTTTCTTTTTCTTTATTGTGTGTGTGTGTGTGCGTTGCCATTGTTGCTGGCGTTGCCATTGTCTTCGGGCGGACGGTTCTCTCCGCCCCCCCGGCCGCTGCCAAAGAAGACGAAGAAGAAAAGGAAGGACGTCAGACAACGAGACGCGCGTGTGCGCAGAGCAGGTGGCACTCATCACCACCGCCGGCAACAACAACAACAACAACAAAAACAAACGATGCAAAAAAAAAAGAAGAAAAAACGAAGCAAAAGAGAGTAATATTGCGCAGCGTGTGGCAACGGCAGTTCATTTCACGAAGGAGGAGCACCAGCGACAGAGGAACGCAAATGAGCCACTGGAGGGTAACCCGATGCCCCGCACGCTCCCTCTCCCCCTTTTCCCTCTTTTTTCCTACTTTTTTTTGTATTGACTTATATACTGTTGTTGGATTTACTGCCTTATGCATGCAAGTAAAAGGAAAAAAAAAACAAGCTTCTTCTGTTGTACGGTGTATTTCTAAAGGTGGAGTTCGGCTAGCGCTTTTGTTGTGCGGCCTTTGACGTATATTCCCTTTTGAGCGGAAAGATGAGGAGCACCGCGGCGTCCGCCCTCTCCTTCCCCCCCTTCCCTCCCCTCTCTGCATCACGCTTTGAGGCGTGTAGGCAAGTGCGCGCGTTTTCTGTTTTTGTGTGTGTGTGTTGTTTTTTTTCGTTTTCCCTCCTCTTACCTTCATTATCACGCTTGCCGATCCGCGAACGGGGCTTGGCCGAGATGACGTGTGTGTCTGTCTGTCTGTCTGTTGAGGAGTAAAACCAACAACCGCAACAAAAAAGGCGACGGCGACGAAAACGACAAAAAGAAAGAAAGAAAAATATCCCAATGGAACTTTTTTCTCTTCTCCCTCGGCGGCATCCTCGCGCGGTCTGCTGCAAAGTGGGTGCTCTGGACGTCCCTCTCCCGCGCTGGGCGAAGGGCACTTTAGGCTACCTCCCCCCTCCCGCCGCACCGCGCCGCCCACAGAAGTCGGCTCCGCACTGGACCGCCCTGACCCTCCCTCTCTTTCTCTCTCCCCCGCTGTTGCTGTTGAGTGGTGAATGAATATACATTTTTGTTTGTAAGGGCAATAACGAGTGGCGTACGTTATACTGCCTATCCTCCTTCTCCTCCTCCAATCGTTCTATTTGGGAAAAGTAAGGCATGTGCCGTTTCCGTGGATGTATTCTGCGAGAGCTGTGTGGTTGCGAGAGGAGGAGGAGAGGAAAAGACGCGATTGTGGCTGAGGAAAGATGGGGTGGAGGGGATAAGAAAAAAAAGTGACGTTCGTGTGTTTTGTGTGCTCCTGCTGCTGTTGCTACTGCTACACATTTGTGCGGCGTCACCTGCTGGCCTGCAGGGAAAAGTAAAGGAGACACACGAAGAGAATCGGGAGAAGGCCTTCTCGTATTATCTACCTCTAGACTAACACGAACGAAAAAAAAAAGTACACACTTCAGCTATGGTGCCTCTTGTGCGCGCATCGTCTTTTGCCTATCCGCGTTCAAATGAACATGCACTGTGGGTTTCCCTTACCACGCACGCACACGATGTACTTTTCTCTTCTTGTCAATACGGTCTCCGCTGCCTTGATGAGGGAAAACGGAAGTGGGTGACTACGCTCCCACAGCTCTACATACAGACAGACACAACAGGTGTAAATAAATAACTATATATAGTTTCTTTTTCGTTTTGTTTTTGTTTCTTCTCTAGTTCTCTGTTTATTTTACCACCGTCGACCCTGCGCCACGTTATTTTTTGTGTCATCGCCCCGCCTTCCCAGGGCAAGTGGGTCTGACGTGGCTGCGCGGAGAGGCTGCGGATGACGAGTGCGCTGCTGAGCTCCGTGGGATGGGTGTACAGGGGTTTGTTTTCGTCCCTGCGCCAGCCCCAGCAGCAGCCCGGAGAGGAGGAGGCCCAGGCATGGGGACCGGGGCCGCAGGATTGGGGCGGGCTGCCGTCGCCGGCAGTGCGACCGCCCGCCGGCGGTGTGGAGGAGGTGTACGCGGTGGGCGGCAACGCAGGGTGGCGGCAAAACGCCTTTTCCCCGTTTGAGCCTCCCGTTGCATGCCGTTCTCGACGACGGCGGCGGCGCTCGCTGGACTCGGTCACGGCGCGTGAAGCGTGTGGCTCGCGTCATGTGAAGTGCCGATTCACGGAGCTCCTTCGCCGCTGGAGCTCGCGGAGCAGAGACGGTGGGACCCCCGTCTCCGCGGAGGAGGAGGAGGAGGGGGAGGAGGAGCGGCCAGGGGCCTCGCCCGCCGCTTCGTGGACGTCGACGAGGATGACGCCGGCAACCTCCACGCCGGGTTCACGTGCCGCGCGGGGTGCTGCTGATGGCGCTCGCGCAGAATGCTCTCGATCTCGCACGCTGGCGCCGCACGAGAGGCGGCAGCAGCCTGTCTCCGTGGAGGACATGCGGAATCGTGTCATGTCGGCGCCCCTCTCAATGTGGGAGCTTCCGCTGATAGAAGACGTGGCGCAGAGCGAGCAGTTGTTGGGCAGCCGTGAGAGAGCGATGATGGGGGTGATAAACAACGGTGCCGAGGGGAAGGTGCTTTTCGCGCCGCCCGAGACACCGCAAGGGACCCCGCCACCGCGAGCTCCGCAGGCAGCGGAGGCCTGCGTTGGCCGAAAGAAGCTTCCCGACGTCACGACCGCCTCCTCTTCGCCAGCGGCTGCCGTGGAAAGAAAACAGAACACCGCGTGGGAAAGAGAAGCCCATCTGTTGGCGCTTCACTTCTGTGAACTGGGGTCGCTGCTGCAGTGTGGCTCCAGGTGGGGAGATGCTTCGTTGGACGCTGCCGCACAAAAGCCATGCGGGACGAAATGGCCCACGGAGATACAGCCAGCACCCAATGGGACGGAGGAGTCTGCCATTTTTGATGACCTTTCTCGCAGGCTTTTGCGCTCGACCGTCACTGGGGAGGATCGGCGTGTGCGTGCTGTGTACGAGGACGTCATGAGTACGGTGTGCGCGGGGATAATAGAGGAGGAGGTTGCCCACCGTATTCAACTCGTCGAGGGTGCCGCTTTGCGGGCGCTGGACCATTGGGCCGTAAACCTCGTCTTGGCGGAGCTGACGGCGGTGAAGCAGCGGCTTGACCCCGCGCAGGCCCTTTCAACGGGCATCCGACGTCACATCAAGGAGCGCAAGGCGGCGTTGCTCACCGCGTTGGAGGAAGACGCGGAGGACAAGGAGGCTTTTGCGTCCGTGCTGCGTCGAAGCACAAGGGGTGGCGGCCAAGCACAGGAAACTGCCGTGTCCCTCAAGAGCGGGCTGGCGCTGAGCTACCAGCAGCTGGCCACATTGGGACCGGGACAGTGGCTGAACGACCAGGTCATAAACGCGTATTTGGGCATGATCGCCGAGGAGCGGAACCAGGCGGTGGGCGGGGAGGTGGTAGTTTCACTGGGCACACACTTTTTTGCGCGGGTGCAGCAGGAGTTGCGCGGGGGCGCGTGCGCCGCGGGGAGTCTGCCCGCGCTACACAAAGACAGCGGCATTCTCCGTTGGCTAAGGCGTCGTCGCCACATACTGCAACCAGGCACGACACGTATTGTGCTGATTCCGGTCAACTTGTCCCAAACTCACTGGGCGCTGGCCGTGCTCAATTGGGAGCTTCATACATGGTACTACTACGACAGCTACATTCGAAGCACGGCAGCCATGACGCGCGGTGCAGAGGTGCTTCAGCAGTTGACACACGTCTTTTTGGAGTCACGCCGTATCCTCTGCGAGGACGAGGTGGGGAACGCCTCTTCACCGGCCGACTGGAGGCTTGTCGTGGCAAGGCCTCTACGTGGGGATGAAAGCTCCAGCGAGGGAGGCTTTGCCGTTGCGCCGCAGCAGACGAACCTGTACGACTGCGGCGTCTTTGTTTGTCACACGGCGTGGTGTGCGGCGCAAGGCGTCGCCACAGTCTTTGGGCAGAAGGATGCGACGGCGCACCGGCGGGCCATGCTGCACGAACTCCTCTGCCAAAAGAGTATTTTGCAGTTGCCTCTGGCGGCGTTCTTGACGCCGTGACACAAGTGTGCGGAGCCGCTAGGACGAGTTGAGCACCAGGAACGCTTTTGCTCCCGCTCGCTGTGTGTCTGTGTTTCACTTTTCTCCCTCACTTTCCTCCCGCCGCTTCAAGGGAAGGGCGAGGCACTCCGGTGGTGGTGGGCGAAGCCCGCTCAGCTGCTTCCCCTCCCCGTCACTGCGGGTAACTTCTCCCTAGTTCCCCGTGTTGTGTGTGTATCCCTCCGTGTGTGTGTGTGTGTATATATATATACGTATATATTTGGCGGTGATGACCGTCGCCGTGCCTCGCTTCTTCTTCTGTTCGGTTCGCTTTGCCCCGTCTTTGCCCCGTTGTAAAGAATACATCCTCCTCGTCCTCCTCTTCTCTCCCTTTTCTCAGTGCGTTTTACGTTTCTTCTTTACTCCCGTGCGTGCCTGCGGGGGCGGGGTGGGCTCGAAGGTGTTACTGTGGTGTAGGCGGAAAGGAGGGGAAGTGAAGCGTGACCAGGAAGGTCAAGAGTAAAAACAATAGAGCAACTAGAGCAAAAAAAAAAAAAGAGGAAACAAAACACAGTTAAAGCATAATTATCAGCGACATATAACGAGGCGGTGAGTGTGGGAGTGAGGAGGCCATAAGGGGCGCGGAACGGCGTGTGTGTGTGAGTGTGTGCGCAGCTCCCCGTCCCTGCGTGTCTGTCTCCCGGCGGGCGTTGTGTAGGGCGAGAAGGAAAAGAGGCAGAGGGAGGGAGGGAGGGGAAGGGAGGAGTTGACACAGCAACAACTCTGCGTCCGTGCGACTCCCGTCCTTTTCTCCCTTTTTCTCACTTCTTTCTCGGCTTGCTTTGCTGGGAGGGGGTGGACTCATATGGGGCAGCGCGGTTCCTCCTCCACCACGAACGAGGCTGGGCAAGGCAGAAATAGTTCCATGCTCTATGATGAGGCTCAGCACCGCGCCCCCGCAAGGCTCATCCCGGAGGTGCTCCCCAACGTCTTCCCAACGCCGCTGCCGGCCGCAGAGCTGGTCGTTGCCCGCAGCTCGTGGATTTCTGCGACGGAGTCGGCGCTCACCCGCGAGTGGCAGGCCGGGCGCGAACGACAAAAGTTGGGCGTCTTCTCCACCTCCCCGCACGTCCCGCTCAAGTGCACCGCCGTGCCATTCCCGGCAAACCGTAGTTCAGGCATTTGGCACGTAACTGTAGAGGACGAGAAAATCACGGAGGTTCCTGTCGGCAAGGATTTCTTTTTGGCGCTGCGCTCGGCCTGGCGAAAAGGGGCCCCTGCAGAAGAAGGGCAGGAGCTCGCACTGGACCCTGACGCGTGTCGAAAGTACTCCGACGCCGTTTCCTTTGTGCTTGAGGAACCCTACGCCGGTGTTATGTCGCCACCGGTGCCGCTTTCCTACGTGGTTTCAGAGGTACTCGTGCCACAGTGGGTGGAGGACGGGCTTTTTGACGCACCTGCTCTGCGTCACAACCCCTGAGGGGAGAGGTCACCACGACTAGGGTGCGGCGACCTTTTGTTTGCTGTGCATGTGCTTGAAGTAACTTTAAGTGGGGTCCGAGAGGCGGGAGAAAATGAGGAAAACGAACACACACACACATATATATGTATATATATGCATCAGAGCGAGAGGATATTTACGTCACGGATCCGGCCTCGGTGGGCACTCCAAGATATTAACAGGGCTGGTTGTGGTTGTGGTGGGGCGCAACATAAGCGGAGTAGCCGAGAGTGTCGTGGCACCACTGCCCAGGGCGGAGGTGGCAGATGTGCAGAGACGGAGAGGGAGGGAGAGAGCAACGACGAGGGGCCTGCTTTACTTTTCTCTCCTTCTCCCCCTCCGGGTGTTGTGTCTACTTTGCCCTCACACGACGTGCCCTTTTCTTTTTGCTGTCTGTTCCCCCCCCCCGCCCACCTTTTTTTTTTTTTACTTCGTCGTTGTTGCGCTTGCGTGCCTCCAACGCGTCCTCCCCGCCGTCTGTGGCGCCAACGCCCCCGCCCGCCTGGCACCAGCGCCGCTGCGTCCCTCCGCTCGGCCCGGGCGAAATCTCCTTTGTTTCTCACCCCTTCCGTGAATTAACCTCCTCGCGGGGCGTTTCGGAGGTGTTTTAGTTTGTGTATGCGCGGTTTTTTTTTCCTTGGAGGCGCCCGCAGTGACTTGTGTGTTCCGCGCCCTCCTGCCTGTTTCTCGCCGGCCGGAGGGCGTTCGTGCTCCGGCGCGCGGGTCTCTGCCGCTGCCGCTGCCGCCGTGCATCGTCGTCTCTTCTCTCCGTCGTCTCCCGCGCCCCGCAGGACTGACGCCCGAAGCGGCTGCGCGGGTAACAAGCGAAGTCACCGATCACAGCGGGGGAGGGACGGTGTGGGGCACGCGCCTCAAAGGAAGCACCTCCACACAGGCAGGAAGGGAATCGCGTCACCCCACACAGGAGCCGCACCGAGAGCGCAAAGGAAGAGGCAGGACAACAACACAAAACAGAACAAAAATAAAAAAAAGTAGTGAGGGGAAAACGGGGTGAGGAGGAGACAAAGGAGGAGAATTAGTGAGGCGGCGACGAGGAGGGAAAGGAGAAGCAAGTAGAAT